GCTTGGCGTAGCGGTTGGCGTGTATCTTGTTGGAAATATCGGCCGGGAAAGAGGCGATTTCAAGTATCCTTTGGTAGGAGCTTTTCTCTCCTACGCTGCCTTAGCTTTTCTTACCAGTGACGAACCTGGGAATATGTATGTGGCTTTGATTGCAGCGATATGTTTTCAAAACCATCGCGAATTTCGTAAAGAGAAAGCACCTACGAAGACACTGTGTAAGCGAGTTCAGTACCTCGCTGTTGGAGTCGTCGTTATTTCCTGTCTGTGGAGCTCATTCCTTTACTTCAATGCACAAGTTACAACAGAGGATGGCGAAACAGTGAAACTACGCGATGCTGTCAACCATTTCTTCCAGTCCCCGGTGTGGCTTGAGTTCAAAGATGTATTTTGGGGTTTGTACGAAGAGGGGCAGAGAAGTGGCTGGGACAATGTCTACGAGGAGTTCGTTAAAGCTCTGGATCCCAGAGGAGAGAAAAACGCATATCGCATACTTGGACTTACAGAAGATGCAACTCAAGAAGAAATAAAAAAACGATACAAAAAGCTTGCCGTGAAATGGCATCCAGATAGAAATCAAAACAATAAGGAGGAAGCGCAACAGAAATTCATGGAAATTCAAGAAGCTTATGAAATTCTCTCCAATATCAAAACCCGGAGAGCCTCTAGGAACACAAGGACAAGAAGCGATTTCGGTGGACACGATCGCTCAGAATTTTAACACAAGATAGTTTTCTAGATTGAAAGAGTAAATATTTTATATAGCAATTATAGTTTTTGACATGTGGACTACTTTGTAACAGGTGGTTGAAGTAACTGGTTATTTATCTGTTGTGTAAACTGTGATTTGCATCCCACCTGTGAATTAAACATTTTTTTGCTCTTTTTGTGGGTGATTCAGAAGTATCTTGACTTCAAATTTCTACAACTGTTCTTTGTCTGTCAACTTTGCTTTTTTTACAAGGGGTAGGGGGGAATTCACTGTAATGGCCTATACAAGGTTGTCAGAAAGTTTTGAAGTAGATGGCTGATGGGGTTGGGTCTTTTCAGGTTTCAGGTATATGTAAGGTATATGTAAAGGCTCAGAAGGGCTAACAGATGCAATTTGTGCCTGTACAAAAGTAGACAAAAATGTTTTTGTTTTGTGAAGAGAGTGTATTTTTACACAGCAGAGGGATGCAAAGTTCTTAACTACAATCTGTGAAATTAGAACTGGGGTCAGTTATTGAAGGAATATCGTTGACATGTTGTGCTCAACCTCCTTTTCCCTTTCCCTTTCAATGTTGGCCTCAAACTTGGACAATTCCACTGAAAAACCATTACGAAACAGCACTGGAAGAGAGAAAGACAGGTATCAGAGCAGTGTGACCCAAGTTGAGTGTCCTTGATTGTAGGTATGTGAATGGGGTACCATTTTGATATAGAAGGTATACGAGAAGGAGAGCCTCTTCTGTCAAAAATGGTATATGAAAGGGTAAGGGGATTGGACCTGAGGCAAATATGCTTCTGACCTGAGGGGAGCCTCCCCATATAGAACATTATTGAGTAATGCCCCCCCTTCCCTCCAGCATTTTAGGGTTTTCATGCAAATGCTTCTCCCCAAAGAGGGAGTAGTGTTGTGTGATGACATTAAAAACCACTGTAAGGGAGACTAACTGTATTAAGCTTTCAGCTGTTACATTGGGCATTCATGATCCTCTACGTAACGGAAAAGTAGCCTGTGGCTCATTTATCCAGAACTTAAGATAGTAATTTTCTATTCAATGATCTCCATAGTTTGATTGTCGAATAAATGGCCTCAGTTTCTTTGCTTGTCATATATCTTTGGCCCCTATGAGATGGTAGGCAAATTTCTGACAGTACCCTTGAGACACCTCATGGTCCAGCCATGGGTGTTATTTATACCACTCCAGGACTGTAACTAAGGGCAAAATGCCATGGATTTTCCTCGTAAGAAGTTTGAACCCCTCAGCCAATTTGTTTAAAGCCTGATTAGTTTTAATCCTGGGTTAATATTGTAAACTGATATGAATCTTGTGGTCGACTAACCCTCATGATCAATGCTAGTTAATCTTCAAACAACACGGCCTTGATCATACATGTACTTGAGTAGAAAAAAGAACACATGGACCGTGCAAGCAATGTTTAAATCCCTGCAAGGATATTTATTAATTTCAACTAAACACATGATAAAGTTTGCGAAACAATAATACCAAATGGCTTTTTGAACTTAGACTGGTCTGTTTCATAATCATACAGGAGTCCTCCCCCCCCCCCCCCCCCCCCCCCCCTCCTCCGCCTGTTTTTTTCATTTTCATCCCACCACACTCATCCCCACCGCGCTGTCCTATAAATAAACAAAAACACAACCACACAAAAAACAAAAACCTACAGGAAACAGCAACCACCCACCAAAAGACTTTTTTCTCACCACAACC